TACTAGTGGCATCAGACTTTCTTCGTTACCTTTTAAAATTATTTTAGGATCAAGTAAATGCATAGCTCTTAAAATATCACTTGCAAAATCAAACCGTTTGAGAATCTGCGTGGCACCCTCAATATAAAAATCTAAACAGCGTACCCTTAGAATGTTTAATTGTACCGCAGAAAATTATTTTGTATAATATATGCATTTATTTTAGCTCCTAAATATATATTTTCTTTATTTTTATAATTGTGAGGATTCCTAACGTCTATTTCATGTAAAGGAACATTGGTTGTTATTATTTCTCTTTTAATGAAAAAGTTTTGTATAGAACCGTCATTCGATTATGTAAATCAAATAATTTTGGTTCACTTGATTGCATCTCTCTGTTGCAGTTATTAAATAGAGGAAGTACATGTTCCAAAAAAAGCAAGAAGAGGTAAGTTAAAGGATCTTGCAATTTTTCCAAAATGCTTTCTGCCGACAACAATCTGTCAGTTGCAACCGCGTCCGTAAAAAATAATTTCAAAGCATTATATTGCTCTATTACTCGACACACTACGTTTTCCAGTGACAACCAACGAGTCTGAGACGGATGCAGAATTTTATGAATTTTGGTCTGAGTGAACATTTGAAACTCCTTCAAAACTTGAACTCTTTTCGGGCTATTTGCAATATAATTGTATTTGTCCCGAGTCACATCTTCTACTGCTTTGGGAAGTTTGGAACATGCACTCGAAGCACATAAATGAAAACTGTGACATATACATTTGAGTAAAAATATGTGAGGTATCTCTGCTTTCAATCTACTCATTACAGAATTATGCACTCCTACCATTACACTAGCTCCATCTGACGTAAACCTATAAGATTTCTTTTATACGGAATGTTATTGTCATTAAAAAACTTTACAATTTTTTCAAAAATATCTGCTGCTTTTGCTTCTTTCATTGGTATTAAATTAAGGAAGGAATCGTGCACCCTATAAAAATACATATGTTTGAGCATGGAAACTAAAAAGTTAATCTGTAATAAAATTTGAAAGGAATAGTGTACTTGTATTTGGGACGATTATTTTTTCATTTGTCTAATCTATTTTAAAGTTGTTAACAGTTATTATGAATATATTGGATAGATAGTAAACTGTAAAACTCAATTGTTTTCATTTTGAATTTGTCAGCCTTTTTTTACCCTCTGTGTCACATATGCCTACTCGAAGACCTTTTAACTTGTAGGTTCTTTGACATAAAAATATACGGCTTCCAAATATAACAAACTACTATTATTTTAATAAAAACATTTTTGCATGTATTCATTGAAAATGTATTTTAAAATAAGAACAATATACACGAATCCAATACATTCATCCAAAGTTGTTACAAGTTACTTAGGTATTACACCCATTAGTAACGAAAGTAATCAAAGCAAAAATTTAAACACCTATTTACTGAGTAACAAATACTTAAAAGTAACGATATTTGACATCTCTACTTTATATTTCAAAAGATAAACATTAGTATTTTCAAAAAATAATGAAGACGAGACCAAATAACTGATATACTACTGAATGGCTGAAATCACAAAAAAAAATTATTTTGATGTATATATAATGAATATTTTTTAATTAAATAAATGTTTAATGAAAAAGTTAGCAATTATTTTCATGCTTTGTCATAATGTATCTTCTGCAATCACTTTTTAAACATGGGACATATCTCAGAAAAAAAAAACAAAAATACATTTAATAAAAATATTAAGTTTTAATTAATGGACCTTGTACATTTATAATACCACAAACTACAATTACAATGTCATCTATATTACAAAGCAATTTAATGTTTATACACGCATGTGGTTTTAATACATCAAATTCTCGAATCCTGCCAATAACTCTTTCGATGTGTATTCGTAAACTTGCAATTCTTTTGGCTAATTTGATTTCTTCTGGGGTAATTTTACTGCCTTGTCCTACACTAGGAGGTCTTACTAGTTTACACTTTTTTGACCACAGCAAAGTTTCAATATTTTTAAAACCCCGATCAGCCATAACCTCACAATCACTGGGCAAAATATTCATATAATCTGATTGTCTAATAATTTCCTCATCAGTAATTCTTCCACCAAAACCCGTAGGTATAAAATTTATTAAACCATCTGGTAAGGATGATATCAGATATTTAATTGTATTTGTTTTTTTTATAATTTGACCAAGTTAGGGATTGATGAATAGAATTTGAGGGTTTCTCAATTTGTATTTCAAAGCAGTCAATAATATATTGAATTCCACTATAACGTTTTTTGAATGGGATGGACGGTTCCTTTGAATCAAGCCTCTTAGGCCAGATTATAAAATTTTTAAAAACACTTGCTAATATTGGCAGAGATTTGTTAAAAATTACAGAAACTGAAGTAACAGTTAAATCAAAATCATCTGCTAATCTTACATAAGGATCATTTAAACGTATTTTTGTTAATACTAATAATATATCTCTTTGTTTTAAATTAGGTTTTTCTTCTAACATTAATACCAAGAAGAATGTTTTTTCTGGCAAACCTAAATAAAATCTAGAATTACTTTTATACAAGCACATGTTCATTTCCATTCTCTTTGGTTTAATAATTTCGCTTTTTTCACTTGAAACAGAAGTCCCCGCTGAATACAAACTTCCTGAAGTAGATCCTGTACTCGATGGAGATAAATGTTGGAGTTTACTCTCATTAAATGAAATAGAATGGCCTGTTCGTGACTTGATTGTATTTGTAGAAACTGTTCTAGTACATGGTTCAACCTGTATACCCTTTTCTTCTGTTGTTATACAAGATGGCATTACTCCAATATCTTGATCACAAAGTGACACTGTTGATTCTGCCGATGATGTACCTTGATCGAATCTTGGTTGAGAACTAGTAGTATACTTTTCCAATGTGTCTATCTTCCTTTTTTTAACAGAATCTGATATTTGGGAATATTGGCGATCCATTTGATTATCAATCAAATTTTTATGGGGTAGTACAGTCTTTTTTATCTTAATTCTATTTCTCATTAATTTAAATGCCGTCCAGTTTTCACAGTCATCTTCCATCTAAAATATATATTTTTTTAAGAAAGTTATACCCAAATAGTTGTTTATTAGGACTTACGAGAAAATAGTCTTCACAGCAATATATACCAATAGTATTTTTTTTGAAGAGGTCGACCTACAGATAAAAACCATTTGCCTGTCAGTTCCTTATTATTTGGTAGATTAATAAATAATTTATTCGAGTTCTTCGAGTTGTTACTGCATGAAGGAACAAAGCACCATTTAATTTTTGTTGTCTATAATGGAGATACATGTATATTAATTATATCAACATTTATATTTTTATTTTTCTTACCATATCTGTAATAAAGATGATCTCTGAATAATAATTAAGGATCTATAAACACAATGAAATACTAAAAACAACGTAGAGGATATCAAATGCAGACGACAAAGCGAATTAGGGACTAGCGAAAACCAAACAAACAAAAAAATGTATAACAATTTGACTTATGACATGACATTTATGGCATATGACATGACATTTGTGAGATGTGACATGAAATTGTATATAATTGAAATCTCGATTACAAGATTGATCGATTAAAATCGATAAGAATATCCGAATGTGTTGATTAAACACAGTTTTTGAGATTAATATCTCTGCATTTCTGGCTTTCAAGCAATTATTAAATTTTTAATCAAAAACTTGAACAACTTTTATTTTAATAAATATCATAAAAATAACCTAATTGTAATTCAACAATTCGATTTTAAACGACACATCGGATGTTATCGATTAATTGCTACAGATCATACCAAGTGACCGAGTAGACACTCCACACTGATTATGCCTGTGACGTCAAAATCACGTGGGCCAACTTCTGGTATGACGAAATTTAAATAAGAGGGTGGTTTTAAAGTTAAGGGTTTATGTTAAAAAATAATAAGGTGGTATAAGCGGTAAATCTAGATCTTATACACTAAAATATCAATTAAAAAAAAAGTGCTAAAATTGTCCATTTTTTACTTAAAAACAGAGCGACGTAAAAAAAATAACTCAGGAGAGACAGCAAGTTTCAAATTGAATGGAAAATTCAAAAATAATTTTAATTTGAGAAAATCACTGGCGTACAATTTTTTTCTTCAAACATCTAATTGCTCTTTCACATGCCACTGTTAAAGCTGAAAATTATTTTTTTGTTGAAAATTATGCACCATTATTAACTGTCACTGAAATATCTAAAGCGGTTACGAAAATATAAATGAATTTCCTATTTTCGTTACAGAACGTTTTTGGACCATAGTTTATAAAGCAAACTATCATTAATTTTTCATGTAGATTCACACCTTTAAATATTCGCATATCATTAAGGAACACCCTGTATAACGATAACCATAAAGAAAACTTTTTATTATTGGTTTTGTGAAAAATGTATCTTGATAAAAAGTTCTGCATGGTCCAAAACTTAAAATGCAACCATCAGATATCATTTATTTAAGATGTATACGAGGTTTGTCAAAAAATATGAAAAGAGTAAAGTACCTTTATTTTTTACAATACAGAAGAACATTATAAAGTAAAGTTATTTTGAAAAGTTATATTCAAATATGCAATTACAGTCATTTAGCATGAACATTCAAGTTAGGTGATTATTATAAATTATTTGTAGTTATAAATTAATTAATAACTAAACCTGAATTTTAATGCTAAATGGCTGTAATTGCATATTTGAATATAACTTTTAATTCAAAATAACTTTACTTCATAACATTCTTCTGTATTGTAAAACATAAAGGTACCTTACTCTTGAGTAAAATTCATATTTTTTGGCAAATATCGTGTACAGCTTAAAATAATTGAAATCTGATAATTGTATTTTAAGTTTTGCACCATGCAGAACTTTTTATCAGTAATACATTTTTTCACAAAACCAATAATAAAAAAGTTTTCCATATGATTACAACTTAAGTACACACACTATATATTTATATTATTAACAAACCTGTTGGAACAACTTCCATTTGGATGACCTTTAAATTTTGCCAGGGCTGTTTTTTCATGGTCTTTCCCCCATTGAACTGCCAAAACTCGTGACTGGCAGTCAGTCGCATTTTTCTTAAAATTAACCAGGCTTCGTTTTTATACTGCCAAACTGTATTCTGAGCAATTTCTTTAATGCTTTCTTCAGTTAGCCGACATTTTTCTAGTAAAAATTTATTTTTGTCCAAGACATTATAATATTCTTCTGAAAAGAGAATGTCTTCTATGGATGGTGCCAATGTAGCAATAGTTGTACTGGCTTCAGGCTTTAATAACCAACTAAAACCAACTACATTGGTAGCACCTAACTTTTCTCTGAACTCTTCTCCTTTTATAAGTGCATTTTCAGCTATTACTGAATAGGGCTCTCGAGGATAAAGTTCATCGATACTTAAGGCATAATCCGAAGTGTTTCGGTTCTTTAGGGCCCCATTCTCTGGCCTTATCGCTTGAACATATGTTATAATGTGCATACTATAACAATGCAGCCATATTGTGGCAAATTGTTTGGCCTCTAGGACAAGTGCACGTGCTACTGGTTATGCCCTCAGCCAAATCAATGTAGATCTAAAAATATAAAATGATTTAAAGTAATGCACAATAAACTTAATTTTACTTAATCTCTACCTCAACTTTATATACTCGTTTCTTCATGCTAGCCTGTACGTCACCTTGCAAATGAGCTGGGATCATGTCAGCATCAAACTGCATATTCTTGACATGGCCACTTGAATACGAATTTTCGCCCCTTTCCAACTGTTTTCGATCATTTGCAAAATAATTTACGACATGGGAAAACTTGATAACATGATTTGCTTCCATGTTAAAACAAATTATTTCCTGAAAAAAAAAAAAAAACAAAAAAAAAATGAAATCGATAGAATAATATGTATTTTCCTAAAAGAAATGATTAAATCCATAGAAGAACTCATAAAGTGTATCGCCTTCAAAAATCGGGCAGAATCAAAGTATTTTCTAATTGTTTTTGATCATTGGCAAAATATTTTGCGTTAAAAAAAACTTAAGAACATGCTTTGGTTCCATGATGTTGAAACAAATAATTTCATTGAAAAAGAAATCGATCATGCAGAGCTTATCAACTTACCGTTTACAATATGATTTAAAATCAAATTCAAAAATCTCCTTATAATTAAGTGGGGTTATATTCACGGACAATTAATACTTTCCTAAAAAAAGTTATGAAATCCATGGAATAACTCATAAAGTGCACCTTACCCACTGTATGCTTTAAATATGCTAATTAATGCAATTGATACGTGTTACATAGACTCCAAAATCTACGCTTTGAACACGTTGGGTTGCTTCCTCAAATATCAGTAAAATAAAATATTTTCCTGAAAAAAAAAAAAAAAATTGTAAAATCGAAATCTTACAGTCAATATGCCCTAATTTAGTTTATAATAATTAAAACACTTCACTTCAAAAAACAGCTTCAATAAATCAAATCGCACAATGCTAATCAAATGCACATTAAATGACAGTTGACGTTTCAAGGTCTGTTGGCATCCAGCGCTATGACCTTCCTCAACCTGTGACGCGCACTAAACACGCGTATTAACTGCCTATTTCACTTACTAGCATAACACTAATAGACAATTTTCCTTTTTTTATTAATATACACAATTGATGGTTGGAAAATGTTCATCAGTAGATGGTGGTTTTAATATTTCTTCATGAGTACCATCGATTGCACCTATAGCTTACCTCTTAAATTAAATTTTTCATAAAATCTAAAAAAAAGTTTAAGTACTTTACTTTATTAATATAGAAAATTTTATTTAACCCTTGATTTATAGAATTTTTTTCTTCTTCAGTGACTGAAAATTTTAGCGATACCCTTATCAGCACTTGTAAAATCAACCCACATACATAATAAATAGCTCTACTCATTGATGCTTGACTAATTCTTATCCAAACATTGCATCCAATTGCACTTTGATAGAAGCCAGTAGCCAAAAAAATCAAAGTAGCAAAAACCTAAAGATATACTTATAATTTATTATTTTGGTAAATATGATTGTTTTACTTTAAATTCAAAAGGGATTCCCTAATTATTTATTCTAACATGTGGTATAAGGGGTTTTCTCGCCTCAGAGAAAACGGTTCCTTACGAATGACGCTGGTTACGGACGGTTCTCGAGCGCCAGATTTTTGGTGATGGTTTACTCCACAAACTCTCGAAACAGCGTCGAAAGTACTCGGGCAGCACAGATGGAGATGAAAAATTCCAGGGGTCAAAGGTTACTTAGACTCAAATAATTAGTAGCCACAAGTAATGGGCTTTAATCATTACTTGTGGTTGCAAAGAATTTCTCACTGCTGAAAAATAAGGGGGAAGTAAATTGGTGATTAGTAAACTCAGTAATAGTCACGGTAATTTTGACATATATTGATTTAACTATATATACACTAAAAAAGAAAATAAGATATTTCAACGCCCACCCTCGGTTATGAAACCCTGAACAAAAAAAAATGAAGCAATGGCAAAACGGTAACGAACGGCTGATATACTTGGCAGGTATTCTCAATCAGACTGCTTAAACTGGATACGGTAAAGGGGTCGCGTATACAAAAAAAAGTTGTATTCGGAAATCTCAGACTAAGGTCAAAATTTAAATCTCGGATAATATGAATTCTAAATTTACGGCAATTACTCTCAAATCGAGAAAAAAATAATCTAATTGTAAATCATGGATAATACGGATTCAACAATTTAAATTTACGGGAATTGTTTAAATCGCAAAGCAAATCAAAATTTTAATCAAGGATATTAGTTTTAAAAATTCAAAATTTTCGGTAGTAAATCAAAATTTAAATCAAGGCTAGTATGAATAAAAAAAATTAAACTTCGGCACTTCTGTAACTCGTGAGGACCACTCGAAATCTTTCTAAATGTTTGTTTCGTTTTTAAAACCCCTGAATACAATGAGCAAGCTACGGTGAATCAAACCCACACTACCTCTTATTGTTATTTATTATTATAACCCCAAGTCGGACAAGGATATCTAGGAAGAAAAATAACACACGGAACTTTAAGCCCTCAGTGAGTTATTTGGGAATAGACAGAAAGGAAAATTAACACACGGAACTTTAAGCCCTCAGTGAATTAATTGCGGAAAGCTAGGAACGAAAATAACACACGGAACTTTAAGCCCTCAGTGAGTTATTTGGGAATAAACAGGAAGGAAAATTAACACACGGAACTTTAAGCCCTCAGTGAGTTAATTGCGGAAAGCTAGGAACGAAAATAACACACGGAACTTTAAGCCCTCAGTGAGTTATTTGGAAGTAGCCAGGACGGAAAAATAAAGGAACGGAAATTTTATATTCAAAACAGGAAATGATACCCTCCCTTTAGTAAAAAAAAAAATATCGCGAACAGTCAAACTAAACCAACAAAAAAAAAATATTTAATTCCCTTATTTCCCACAAATAGGAATTTAACAAATCTATTCTTTTAAAAGACTATCTAAATTTAAAAAAAAATGAACACTCTAATTCCTATCTTTTCCCAATTTACTTATTTAATAATTATCTTTACAAAGTCAATTTATAACGGAAGCAGTCCTCACCGTTCGAAGACGATAATAAAAAAAAATAAACACGGTCAATATCAAAACAAGAAACTATTCTTCGACTGTTAATTTAATTATTAAATTTCGGAATTTTTACAAAATTATTTACGTGTTAAAATGTGATCTCAAACGGTGTTTAAATATACTAATTTAATTCGGTTTTAATTCCTATCTAAACTCGATACTACGGCAAAAAATAAAAACGGGTTTTTTGTACTAACTGCGGTAAATATGGTTTTAGCTCGCGGTGCTGCTATTTTTGTCGACTGACTCTTTCGATCGCTCGGAATGGAATTAAAAATTTCTCTCGCCATGGTCTCGTACTCGGGTCAAAAATATTTACCAATGTTCCACGCATGATCAACTTAAGTGGGAAAAGGTACTCGAGAAGAGGACGGTGCTTGCTGCCGGCGTTCGTTATCGTGTAAAAATATTAAAAATAATAAATTCCCAAATCTACAATTTTCTATAATATAAATTCAAAACCCTGGTTTAAAATGACTTTTTAAAACCATTGCTATATTGTGAAAGTACTATGAATTTTCGGATTATTATATATTTCAAAATAATAGATACAGGGTGAAGCCAAAAAGTTGATTTATAAATTATAATAGTAACGAATAATTAATTTTATTAAATTGACATGCCGGATTCTAATGAAAGTTAGATTTAAAATTATTAATAAGAATACTAATTCGGCAATTGAATATAAAAAAAAATAGTAATGAAAAATGACTTCATTACATCCCCCCCTCACTTCGGAAAGAAAAATAAAGGTGAACATCGTTTGCCTTTATTTTTCCTTTTATCCGCCTACCTAACTGTTACAAAAACTACTAAAATTTACAACTTCAATATAAAACAGTCTTCGGATTCTTCTTTCTTCGGTTCCGGAGTCAAAACCATACCATCATCAGACTCGGAACTACCATTGACGGAAACATTGGATGGCTACAGTACGGCTTGGTGGGTGCAAATTCACCTGCACACCAACGGAACGAGATTTGTCCCATGATATCGGGATGGCGACGTCTCGTAGAGGTGGATTTGGGAAACAACTACAATCTCGGGACATGATTCCCACCAGTCCACATCTGGAACATTGAAGCAGTGGCAGTCCCAACGGAACATTCGGTCGGAAGTCGGATCCATCCTTCTTTGTTTAGAACCTTCGATAGGTGGTCGCTAAATACTGGGCATAAACGGAAATAATATTTGGCAGGGAAAAAAAAGACAGGACAGTAACGGTGGACGGAAATTACTGGGGGGTTGTGATTGGTGGACACCCACAGAGTCGGGATAGCGTTCCGACACGTCCGCAGCGGGAGCAGAAAAGAATCGGAGCTCGGTTACAGCGCTCCCTACGATGTCCGGTATCTCCACAACGCCAGCATGAGTCAGGGCGAACTTCTATGAAATCCGGGACCGGCGGAAGGACGGGTGACTGAGACGGGTGGTCCGGTGTCGACGGCTTTGGACAAGGCGTGGTGTTTACTGGATTATCTTTCACCTCCTGGACGGGCACAGACCGTCTCCAGAAAAGAAGATGGAGTGGTTCTCCAGGGCCTTCCTGGTACTCTGAGTACCATTCCCCTTCGGCCAATACTAATGGCGGGCGGCTCATAATCATACTGAAAGACAACATTAACAGTTATCATATGGGTCGGTACTTCCCGATTGAAAAAAAAATCCCGAGTTTCTAACAGCGGTCTGATGGAGATAAGGATCCCTGACAACATAGGGTGAATATAAAACAGTTAAGCGGTACAATGGACTCATTCGGATTCATAACTAGAACAGAAACAGATTATTCGACGGCTGGTTTCAGGTCTTTTATGTGCACCTGATTGAGTCTCCTCCCTGTGGCATCTTTCAGGTTGTAGACTACGGGGGATACGACTTTAACGACGGAATATGGGCCGGGATATTTCGGAGCTAATTTGGCGGCTACATGATCCACGGCTGATGACAACGTATGTTCTCGTTTCATCACTAGATCACCAATAGTGCACCTCCAGTCTCGTCGACGCAGATTGTAGTAATGAGCCTGCGAGGTAAAAGCTCGGGACAAGTTGAGACGGGCTAGGTCAAAACACTCTTTGAGTTTTCCTAGTCTCTTGACAAAATTTTCGGGACTTTCTTCATCAAGCGTTTCGGTTTCGGCGGGTTGGTTACTGGTCTCAACTTCTTGTCGTAGGGATTTGGGGATGACTAACTCCCTCCCAAAATTTAAGAATGCTGGAGAAAAACCAATAGATTCGTGACGGGACGTGTTGATTGCAAATTTCAAATCGGATAAATGTAAGTCCCAATCCTGGTGATTATCCTCGCAAAATTGTGCTATCATAGTTTTTATCGTTCGGTTTGCTCGTTCTACGGGATTAGCTTGCGGCGTGTAAGCGGGGGTACATCGATGACGGATTCCTAACTCTCTTTTAGAACGGATTCAAAGAGTTTGCTTGTATATTGTGTGCCATTATCGGTTATGACTTCTTTTGGACATCCAAAAGTTGTGACGATGTCGTCATAGAAAACGGTGCTTACGCTCTTTGCGGTAGCAGTTCGAATAGCCTTACATTGCACCCACTTGGTAAATCTGTCCATGAACATGACGATATATGCATTACCCCTTTTACTCCGGGGTAGCGGTCCAACAAGATCTGTGCTAACAACTTCCCATGGTTGACTATTCGGTAATGGGTTCATCTTCCCCGGTGTCTGTTGTTGTGACGGTTTGTATTTCTGACATTGTAAACAACTTCGGACATATTTGGTAATGTCGCGGAACATTCCCGGCCAATAATATTGTCTGGCGATGCGGGTAATAATTTTTGCAATCCCAGCGTGGCCTGCGGTTGGAGCATCATGATTTTCCTTTAGAACTCGGTCTCTTTGTGACTTGGGTACACAAAGCTTCCACGGATCTGACAACTCGGGTTCTTTGTAGTCATTTATGTCCCAAAAATGACGATATAGACGGTTTTCTCGGATCGCAAAATCGGGATATTCACTGGGGTTTCTTTCAACCTCGGCTTTCTTAGCTGAGTACCAACTACAATTGGTATCGTCGTCTACGGTACACACATCTGGTGTGCTTGATGTACTGTCAGTACTAGGTAACGAATTTCGGGACAAGGCATCGGCGATACGGTTCAAAGCTCCTTTTCGGTATTTAATCTCAAAGTCATATTGTTGCAAAAATATGCTCCATCTTGCTAAGCGGCCGGACGGACTCACGATGGAATGTAACCATTTAAGTGATTGATGGTCAGTGAGTACGGTGAAATGATACCCCTCCAGGTATGCTCGCATCTTCTCAATACCCCAGACTATAGCAAGGCATTCTTTTTCGGTTACGGAGTAATTTCTTTCGGCTGGATTCAGAGTCCTGCTGGCATATGCGATGACATAATCTATGCCATCCTTCTTCTGTGTCAGCGCTACTCCTAGACCATGATCGGAAGCGTCAGTTTGTAAAGTAAACGGGAGATTAAAATCGGGACAACTGAGTATCGGCGCCTCAGTTAAGATGGTTTTGAGTTTTCGAAAAGCGGTATCTTGTTCTTCTAACCATCGCCAACGATAAGATTTTCTCAGTAGTTTGGTAAGTGGAGATACTATTTGAGAGAATGACGGCACAAACCTGCGGTACCAGGATGCTACTCCCAGAAATCTTCTGAGTTCGCGGATATTTTTCGGTGCTTCAAATTTCACAATAGATTCAATTTTTTCTGGATCGGTACTAATTCCATCTCCGGTGACTATATGGCCTAAATATTTCATACTCGGTAGACAGAAATGACATTTTTCGAAGTTGATTTGGAGTTTAGCCTCTCTCAGGCGTCGGAAAACTTCTTTCAAATTTTCTAGATGAGATTCAAAAGTCTCTCCTAGAATAATGATGTCATCTAAGTAAGCGAAGGCATGTGGATCCATGTCGGGGCCAATAATCTGATCGATTAAACGTTGGAAAGTGGCGGGAGCGGAATGAAGGCCAAAGGGCATAACTCGGAACTGGAAAAGTTCTCGTCCGGGTACGGTGAATGCGGTTATCGGTTTGCTGCGGGCGGAAAGTGGAACTTGCCAATATCCACTTTTCAAGTCTAAGCTAGTAATAAACTTAGCAGATCTCAGCTTATCCAAAATGGCATTCATATACGGTAGTGGATATGCATCTTTCATAGTGACTTCATTTACTTTCCGAAAATCAATGCAGAATCGGTGTTTACCATCTTTCTTTCTTACAATCACCACAGGAGAACTCCAAGGACTTTTTGAGGGCTCTATTACCCCTTCGTCCAACATTTTGTCCACTTTCTCGTTAATGACCTCTTGCATTTTCGGATTTTGTGGTCGGTATCTTTGTTTGATCGGTTCTTGCTTAATTAAACGGATTTCGTGCTGTACTAAATCAGTTGGCCCTTGTATATCATGAAAAGCTGGTAGTTCGGTAGCCAAAAATTCATCTAACCTGTGTGATTGTTCTGGAGTCAGTGATCTCTCGGTAATCGGCGTGATAGTCTGTAAAGAACAGCCTATACTATTGGTTTCCTCTTCATCGTCTTCTTTATCACAGCTTTCACTGAGTTTGGAGACGGCTGCTTCATTTTTCACTATGTTGCACGACCCTGACTTGAAGTCTAGTGACTTACATCTTGTCTTTGGGGCTGTGGGACAGCTCGAAACAGAACGGGTAGGGGAACTCCTTGAACTGGACACTTTGTCCTTCTTGCTTTGGACTTTAGACTTTTCCGAAGCATTTAGTAAATCCTGAGGTCCATTTTCAGCAAGGACTATAGCTCTAACTTCTATAGGCTTTACGACGGGTGGTATTGGTTCAACGGATGGTTGTTCAACTATTCCAATTGAAAAGCAGGTAACGGCTCTTTCTACAGGTGACATCGGCGTCTCACCTATTGCAATTTTTCCTGTTCCCAATTCCAGTCTAAAATCATACTTCTCTAGGATATCTATTCCTAGTACTAATTCGGCACTTAAATTTGGAAAGTAAACCATTTCTTCGGCAGTTTTCTGGTTGCCGAACTTCATCTTTACTTGATAGGTGTCTTGAATGCGGATTATGTTTCCATTAGCTAACCTCGCAGACGTCGGTGCTACTTTTATGGGTTGCTTTTTCTGGGAAAGATGTTCCGCTAGTCGATTACCTATGTAGGATTTGGAAGCTCCGGTATCTAATAATGCCAAAAACTTTTCACCTTCTATTTCCAAACATAAGTGTGGTCGCGAGTCGTGATCGGGTATAATGACTCGTCTCTTGAGAGGCTAGTGTCGGTTGGAACTGTTTGGACCTCCCTTCCGAACAGCTCCTGTCCCATTTCCCGACTGGCTACACGGACAGTCTTTTGACAATACGCCTTCCTTTAGGCAGCGGGAACAGAATATTTTTACTTGATTTTGGCAGTGTATTCGCAGATGTCCCTTCTCTCCACATCTCCGACACAACACTTCTCCACGTGAGGTGGATGGTTGTGGTTCAAATCTTTGCGGCTGATTACGGACGGCGGGCACGGAAGGGGAAAAGGAAACGGATTTTGGATCAACTGGCGGCGGATTAGCTTGATAATAGTGTGAGGGATCGGAGCGGAAATAATGTGAAGGTTCAGAGGTTTTAAGTCGGGTAGGTTCGGGTGCTGGGTGTCTGAACGGTTCGGATTGCTGAGAATAACGGGAAGCGGTACTCCTCGGAACAAAACTCGTCGATGGTATGCTTTGTAACTCCTTTCTAAGCAGCTCGAACTCCCGGACCACTTGACACAATGTGGTAAAATTGGAGTAATCCGTCTTTCGGATTTGCTGTCTGTATTCTGGAAGCAAATTTCGGTATAGCCAGGTTAGCTGTTGTTCATTACTCAACTTTCCATGTCGTCTCATCAATGTTTGCAACTCGGTTATATAACTGGTTACAGTTTCGTTTCTTCTTTGTAACCTTCTACTTATTTCCACCTCTAAGTCGATGTGGTAATTAACGGAGAAAAAGAATATTCTGAAATCTGTTTCGAAGTCCTCAAAGGTGTTCCAAGAGGATCGGTTGTTTCTAAACCATAATGCAGGATCCCCGGTAAGTAGTTCGGGTAAATAGGGTAATAATCGATCCTTGTCTATTGTTTTAGCGGTGCAGATCTCATCTAGTCTTTCTAGAAAAGCTGCTGGATCTTCACGGTTGCCAAATGTGACTTTCCAATCCTGAGTTCGAATTGGCTCGGGTGGGTCTGACATTGTTTGTTGAGACTTTTCACTAATCGTGTCAGAATTTTTTTCGGTACCTCGCAGGAAGGAAACCAAACGTTTTCGTTTCTCCTGTACAGTGCCACTGACGGGGAGCTGATGCTTTTCTAATTCACTGGTGATCTCCGGGTTCTTTAGCAAATACACCCAAGATACGGGGGTTGCTATTGTTGATTGAACCTCTTTTGATTCTTTCGATTCGACCTCCGGATCTTCGGAAGTAGAAATACTTAATTTTGTTTGTAAGTCGTTTCCCTCCGTATCTATTGCCCTGATATCTTCAGCGGTTGTAACGGACATTAACTTTCCAAAGGAAACGAACGCGAGCGAGTTTCTTTACAGAAAGAGGCAAAATCACGAAGAAAACAAAAATTATGC